TAAGTAATATATCAGCGCAGAGGTAACAGCTTGAGGATGGTATAGGAAGGACCAGATCCCACAACACAGCAGACCCCAACACACAGGAGGATATTGTGATGGGCGTGAGTTGGCTCCCTGGTCCTGATGATAGAGACGCTGACCCTGAAACTCAGCACTGAGCTTAGCTTTCCTCTCCTGCACTGTGCTTCACCCACAAGAGCTCAGTAATGCCAAGGACGGAGGAAAGGATAAATATGTGTCCTGAGAGGGAAGGTCACTGGAAAATGAAATGGGAGTCGAAAGGAAGCACTTTTCTGCAGAAACCTGAAGATTCAGAGACGCACTCTCCCTGCCCAGGGCTAAAGCCAACGGACTAGCCTTCTGACTGCTCCTCAGGACCTTGGGACAGAAAGACAAATCAAGTAGAAGCAGCAGATGGACTAACTAGTTCTCAGGGAATTCAAAGCCTGATGGTCAACCTGTCAATCCATGTCATTCTATTACTCCAGATCCTTCCATGGCTCCCTATTACCTAAAGTCCAAGGGTAGAGTGTGACTTAGCCCCTAACTAATTCTATTGATACATGGTTGAAACTCCAGATCTTATATTTTGTTCCCGGACATTGGCAAACTGTCTGCAAGTTCCTTGCCCAGATACCATGGTCTGCTTTGTCTCTTGGCCCTTGCTCATGCTGCCCCATCACCCCAGAGGATCACTTTTTCCCTGTTCATTTCTGTATGTCTTCAAGCCTCTTCTTGGGCATCATCACCTCCAGAGTTTTCCTGAAGTCCATGATAGTCTAAGTTCTTCTCAGTAGCCCCGCTGCACCTGGGAATGCCTCATTTTATGCACTAAATGTTTTTTCTTGAAACTGTATCTGTGTGTCCCCCACTAAACTGTGAGGTCTCCTAAGGTAAGGATTTTGATTCATCTTTGTATCTTAGCACATCCTTGGCATACAGTAGGTTTTCAGCATATACCTGTGGATCCAAATTTCAGATTTTAGAGCTCCATGAGGTCTGCTCATTAATTAACTTATTCAATCCAGACACACTTATTGAATGCATTATTTTAAGCCAAGAACTCTTCTAGGTGTTTAGTGAAACACCTGTGAACAGATGAGGCCTCTGTCCTCATGGAGCTCACACTTAAATAGAAGGGAAATTGATAGGTGTCAAATAAATTTCCAAAGGCAACAGACTAGGTAAAGACTGAATGTGGATGAGATGGACAATCCCTATTTCAGTGAAAATGAGAGAATTTTAGTAAGGCAAACCTCAGAATAAAGTTGTTCTCCTTCCATACAGTGACTTGGTAATGTGGGAAATACAGACACTGCATGTGCTAATGATTATTCACTTATGCTTACATTTATACTCACAAACTGTTTTTATAAGAATCATTACATAACCCTTAATCATAATTATTGTAGCAAAACATCATTGTGTATTTAGGCATGGTTTCACTTGTATGTACATTATTTTATTCATTCTTAAGAACACAACAGACTTCTTATCTTATTATCTCCATGTTATGGGTTAGGAAACTGAGGTTCAAGTAAGATCAGTGGCTTACTCCAGGCCATACAGGCAGTAAGAAAGCTGGAATTCCTAACCAGGTTTTCTGATTTTTAAACTTGGGCTTCTTTTCATTTATACTATGATGCCTCCTCAAAGTCTTTTCAATCCTGTTCTTACCAGAAGGGGTTCCAACCTATTTCTTTTAGCCATGCTGGGCCTTTTTTATGTAACACTTCTCTCATATTAGATAGCTGGCAGGTTCCTGAAAGATTCAACTATTGCCATGTCAGGATATTCTTTAATGATTCCAAGAAAGTTGCATAGTCAAGTGTGCCTGAGAGCATTTTTCTAAAGGTTTTTTTTTTTTTTTCTTTACTTACAAGCATGTGATTTCATTTAGCAAGTATTTATCGAGAGCCCACTAGGTGCTAAGAACCATTCTAGGAGCTGGGGACACGGCAAGAACAAAAGACAGACAGACAAATTAAAACCCAAAAATACCAAGAGGAACAAGTGTGGATTTTGTGATGTTTAAGTGGATAAAACTTTGAATTGATAACTAGGGTGTGCAAAGCAGAACTCAATAATTGGATTATAACGTGGACCCTCTTGTCATGCTTTTATGCTGGTATCAAGTTAGGAGCTGTGCACACAGGTAAAATCCACAGTTGCTTTGACTCAAGTGTGGAGCCAGAACTTAACTTTGAGTAAAGTAACTGTAGTTCCAAAGATAAAAACAATTTTGTGCTACAAAGTATTAATGGTCCAAAAGATAAATTCCATAGGGTCTTCCCCAGGTCCCCATTTTGAAACAAGCAAAAACACATAAAAGCACCCAGCTCAGCTTAAGGCAACCTAGAACCACAAATGGCCAGAGATGACAGAAAAGGGAAGAAATAGATAGAGAATGGAAGAAGGAACTGGAAAATAACTGCAGACTGTCCTAAAGCGGAATAGTTGAAGTGGGTAAGTGGGATTTATCTAGGAGCAAATTCCCAACATAGCTGGGAGCTTTTATTGTTTACTAAACTGTCAAGAAGAAATACCAAGAACAAGAATTTACTAGACCTGCCCACAGAAAAGTGAATTGTAATGATTAAATGGAAAGAAAGAATACGCTAGGATTTCATTAGACTCAAAATTATCTGTTTAAAACACTCAGACAAATGAGAAATCCTCCCAAGTCACTTAGAAAGACTATCTTATATATGTTAAGGAGAGGTGGGGCAAAAATTTAGATTAAGTTCTAGTTTTGCTTACAATTTGCTTCACTATTTTGGAATTCCTTCTGACTTGATCTGGATTTAAGTTCTGCTTAGCTACTAGCTAAGATATGTGTATATTTGTATTTACACATAAATAAAATATGTTACTGTTATTTCTGTCATTGACACTGGTTTTCAGAACTGTCTTTAATTTTTAAGCTATTAAGTGCTACCTTTCATACACTTTTGAAGCTGTCTGCTCTCTACATGGAGAGAGTGGTGTGTGGGTGGGTGTGTAAATTTTATTTACTTTAGGCTGTCCATAGATAAAATCATCAGATACATCTTTATATTTTTACGAAGATTGTTTCAAAATATTCAGGGGCATCCTTCCTGACTGATAGATTTGCAGTTGGGAAACCGCTCCTTGTCTCAAAAAACATAATTGTGTTGGGGGGGACAGCAGTGAGGGGGGATGAGTCTTAGAGGCCACCACTAGACCTGTCCTGGAGAGACTCCAGGTTCAAGGCTGTTTCACTACATAAACGGATGCGCTCTGCACAGCACCCAATGCCGCATTCATTCCTGAGCCACCAACGACGAAACAGAATGTGCCCATCTATTTCTGAGGAGAGGGCAATTCCAACGGAGTGTGATTTAACAGTGTTTAAGACTCTTTCAAGGTTCATTAGTCACTGAGAAGTTTCTACCTTTATCCTATCCAAATGGGAGTAAATCCAAGGGAAGAAGTGTGCTATGTCTACCGCAATTTCCATCAGGAATGACCTGCGTGGTCCCCGTGGTCAGCAGAAGGCTCGGTCACGTCCAGCGAGAGGAAAACACACTATGCGTTCTCTCCTGTCATTTTTCCTTCAGACCAAGAATAACACAAATCTGTAATTGGATTTCCCCTCCTTTGTCATGCCTCTGTCTTACCCCTTCCTCTCAATGTACACATGGTTTACTGCAGCAAGGCCCAGCTCAAACATCATTTCTTCTCCAACACTGACTCCCACCTAAAATGTATCTGCTTCCCCTGCTCAGTTAGAGCATTTCATCTGTGGCGCTGCACACAGTGTCCTGAGCTATAACTGTCCCTTAGAGCTTTCATCTCTCTTCCCACATTAGAAATTCTTCAAATATGCAGACCATGGTTTATGAAATGCCTTTATGTTTAGTTATAGCCACACACAAAAAAAAGTACCCAATGGTTATTTGATAAGTGCACCCATTCAATGCATACTTATTATGGACTTGCTCTATGCCACGCATGACAGACACAGCTCCTGTCTAGACATGGCTCACAGCTGAGTGGCATGAGTGAATCCATGCGTGATGCTATCTCATATGTGACAGATATGCAACCAATTTCAAGTAACCAGAATAAGAATGAAACATGTGCCCTGAGACGAGACTCATAACGTGTCACAAGGGATCTTTATCTACAAGAAAGAACACTGTTAGCGTCTCAAGGAATTTCCCCAGGGGAATGGTATAGCTATCTTAGGCAATCAAGCTTAGCTTAGATTAAACAAAAAAAGTGCAGTGTGCTGTGCTGATGACACTGTTTGCTGAAAGAATCCAGCAAATCAAGTCTGATTCCTTTTGCCTCAACAATTGACCTTAGAGATTGAACTTATACTTGACTCAAGCTCCCTTGCTATCAGACAGAGGTCTCAATACATCAGCTACAATAGTAATAAATGAGTAATGGCAAAACCCCACTGCTTTCTCACAGCTGCTGCTAGCTCTTCGGGAGGATAAAAAAAAGGAAAAACCAGTTTTCTGGGCCTTAATATCACAATCTGAGAATTTTTCTTCATCTCGAATAATGAGACTCTTGGGAACACCAAACTCAGCAAAGGTAAAGTAATACATATGTTATGTTTTAGACAAGACATACAGCTGCTCACGGGGCCTCTTTTAGCTAAGGCTTCCCGGCTTGCCGAGTCAGAAGTCCAAAATCAAACTTTACACGGGTCTGTATCCTCGTGACATCAAAGTCCTTTCATCTGAGTTGTTTAATTTCATTTATAAAACACAGCTACCTGTGGGATCAGGTGATTCATTAGTTAAATGATCGAACAGAACTGCAGGGTATTTAAGTAGCAAACCCACGGTCCTGTAACCAGTTCAAGCTGGGATCAAAACCCGGGGCCTCCACTTCCAAGTCCAGAGTCGTTTCTGCAACAACTTTTGACCTCACAGATCAGAGGACAGATTCAGTCACTGAACCGGGAATTTCACCTGTGCTCAGACAGTCAGCGTGTGAAACAGGATGGGTGAACTCACCTCTTTAAGGCAGCCCATGAAGTTGTTGCTGACGGGGGAGCCTGGCAAGTCAGCGGTACTCGGGCTTCCTCCCACGTAGAAGAAGTCGTCTGAGCCCAGCATGGTGTAGTCCTCTTGAGTGTAGCCTGTCGTGGTAAGGATCCCATCCACAGAGATGGTCACCTGGCGGAGGGACACAGGGAGAAAAGAAATCCCAACAATGACCTTAAGGTCCTGTCAACGTCCGGGGGCTTGCCCTACCGGTGGCATCACTTTCAGTAAGATTTGGGTGAGGTATTCTTTCTAATTTGGTTCGATTTTGATATGTGCAGCCAAGTTCCATTTTCTGGTCTGCCTCCCTGTGGCCCAAGCCTCCAGCGTTCGCCTGCAGACTCCCGGGAGAGTTTCTCAGAACTGCCAAGCTGAGCGTGAGCGGCTGGCTCTCGCCAGTGCCCTCTTCAGTCAGGCTAGAAAATGGAACTCTCCTCAGACGACATCACTTGTCTCGGTTCATTGGTAAAATGATGGCTTATTTTTGAATGATCGTAATTTATGGTGGTCGTGAGAAACAGCAAAGGAGACATTAGACGATGGGGTTTGTTAGGGGGTTGGTCTTTGGTTGTGGATGGTTTTTGTTTCTTTTTTTTCTTTTCTTTTTCTTTTTTTATTTGTTTCCTTTTGGGCTCACACCACACTGACAGACATGCATTCAGGGAGGGAAGGAAAAGGGTCTTGAGTTTGATGAGTCATGGGTGATACATGCCGTGGACTACCCAGGACATCAACCCGTGTCCTCCCTTGACTGCCATCACCACCCCCCAGGAAAGAAATGGCCCAAACCAAAAAAGGCAATGCTAACAAAAAGAAAGGAATGATGAGGCGTAAGAGCCAAATAATGATAATAATAATGCCCACCAGAAAGAAATAGCACCCACACCCAACATCCATGAAAGGAGCAGAGGGCTCAGAGAAAAGATGAGGCCCCAAAGCGTGCACACACCATACGCTGACACACCCATGCGAAACTTATCTGGAGCCAAGAGAGAAGGCAGAAGAACAGAAGGGAGGGACGTGGGACCAGGGTGCAGAGAACGAAAGAAAAGAACCAAAATCCACTTCACACCTACATGCGCTAAATCAACTGAAAAGCAAGGCGGAAGTGAGGATAGAAAACACACTCAACATGAAAGGGTCATCTTCCCTTCCGACCACCTCCCTTACTAACAAAAAAAGAAAAGAAAAAGTCCAAACCCAACCCCAAAATATATGAAGGATGAGAGGACAATGAAGAAGGGTGGAGACAAAAAAAAGAGAGAGAGAGAGAAAGGAAGTTGTTGTAGGCTTGATGGCTGGTAGGTTGTTAGTAGCGAGGAGGAAAATGAGGAGACAGGTTCTGATGCTAATGGGGAATTCACGAGACAGGAACATGCCATGCAGAGTTTGTATGGAGAACACAATTGGCGGAGCTCCCTTTGGCCGAGGTGGGAAGTAAGGAGGAAGAAGGGAAAGGAAGAACACAGGAAGCAGAGTACTTTCCTCCCCAGATCACCTGTGGCATCCACAGCCACACAAAAGGGAATGAAAAAAGGGGGATTCAGGAGTTTGGGGTTGGGGGGGGAGGAAGAAAGTTGGAAGAGTGAGGGGGTAGGAAGACACGGAGAGAAGAAAGTCCTCAACAGAAATCTCAGTTGTCCCTAGTCTGTAACTTGGAAGTTGCAAAATAAGAAAAAACAAAATGAATTTAGCTAAACAAAGAATATTTCTTTAAAAAAAAATTTTTTTTTAGATAAAAAAATAGTGGAGAAAAGGAAACTGTCCCAACCAAAGCCATCCAAATGTTGTTAGGACAGGTGCATCCCCTTCCATTTTCTTTTTAAAGAAAAAGAAAGGCTTGTATTTCATTCAACACCAACAACAAAAAATTCAAAAAAAGAAACAAGTCTAAAGAGGATAAAAGTGGGGTTTGGGGAGGAAAAGGGGGGCAACACACGGCAAACCCAAAAAAAGAGACAATAAGAATGATATCTACCAGACAATGTAGTTTGTTTACCATAGCGTGTCCGATGCCTGAGTGCTTTGCGGAAAAGGGGGAAGAAAGGAAATTAAAAAATTGTGAACAGAACGATTGTTAATTAAAAAAACTAAAACAAAGATGAGTCGTTAGGGTGTTAGTACATTAGTCGGTTAGTAAAATGACACATTGCATGAATGATCTTGGGTTAGTTTTTCAAAAAAAATGCACCCGACACAGAAAAAGAGAGTGGGGGAAGACAATGAGACCAGGACTCTATGGAAAACCTTGGCGCCCGGCTTGCAGCCAGGAAAGGAGTTGCAGCCCACGTTGTCATCTGTAATTCCCTACTTCTCCCAACACCACTCAGACTGGACCTCACCCAGGTCAGAATTAGCATCATACTTACTTTCCAAGGGCTCTTCTGAATGAACACTGCCCCCACGCCCTTCCCACCCTCAGCACATATACAATACACCTCTCCTGAAAGAAAAGACCCCCAAAGTTTACCATTGAACTTCAGTAAATTGATAGATAGAGCTGAAACACCCATACGTTTGGGATTTTTTATTTTTCACATCTGACTCTGACTACATGCATGGATGATCATGGCTTTCTCCTAGAACAAAAAGAGCTTAGAACGTTTCCGGTTCACATCAGGCAAACGAAGGCCATACAATGTGGCTCACTCTGTGTTTCCAGAGGTAATTTAAAGATCCACAACTGCTTTGACTTGGAGAGCCTTTGTGAGGCAGGAGGGGAACTTTTTTCTCTTTCCTGCCCTCTTGGGTTAGAGTAACTGTGTGGTTAGAATGTGTCAAAATAGTTCCAGTCTTCGTCATTACCCAATGATGTCATTGTCTGGTTTACTCTGCTGGAATGCCTACTGTTGGCATCACATTCCCCTCATTCCTCGTTAGGAATGCCTTTCAAGCTTTGAAGCAATTTCTTGCATGGGTAGCAGAGAGGACTGGCGAGTTAAATGTGATTACAGAAGCCCTACGATTAGTCTCTTCTTCACAGCTTTCAAATGTTAAATTGCCAATGCACCCGGAGCTGGGAGGCTGGAGGTAGATAAAGACGGGCAACCTGGCTTTATGCTTCTGGTTTGATTAAAGTGGCATATGTATGTAGGTCAAGAAATTCCTGTGATGGTCATGACCTTGGACTCAAGGTTATGGACCAAAAACCAAACCAAAGCAAAAAAAACTCACAAAAACTCCTTACTACCTTGGTGCTAATCCTGGTAATGGTTTGCAACAAATAATCCACATTCCCTCCATCACTCAGAACCCCCAATCAAGTGCCTGCCTTTGGCCCTATGCGCTAAGTTGCTAAGTCCACCTATTTGTGACCCTATGGACTGTAGCCTGGCAGGCTCCTCTGTCCATGGGGTTCTCCAGGCAATAATACTGGAGCGGGTTGCCATTTCGTCCTCCAGGGAATCTTCCCAGGGATCAAATCTGCATCCCGTATGTCTCCTGTATTGGTTGGCGGGTTCTTTACCACCAGGGGCCACCTGGGAAGCCTGAATTTGGCCCTGAAAACTTAACCTAAAAGCTACTGAGCAAACCAACACTTTCACTGACTGACTTTAACCCCAAAGCAGAACCATGAGTAGATGACCAAGAAGGAAGAAAGGGAAAAAGCTCTGCTCCATTGGGTAAGGAAATTCCAATAAAATTTCCTCAGATCAATCTTTACCACAGAAGCCATTCACCCTTACCAAAAGAGCAGACATGGCTGCCATCAAATATTCATGAAGTGATTAAGTTTAATTGAGATAGACGAGGGCTTCCCACTCCTTCAAATGTATCCTAGGGAACTCAAAAATTGTTATAAGTGTATTTTATGGGAAAAATAATCCACTTTCTCAATGAGATTCATACTCCCTCTGCCAAGAAATGCCCCCAACACCCTTGGGCCTCACTAGCCTTGTCTCAAGAGCTCTTCTTAGCTGCATTCTTAGGGACAGAGGTGGTCACCTTCGGACAGAATGCTCGGCCTGTAAATCATGCGTGTCCCAGCGAGTCTAGCACCCAGACCACAGATGAGCTCATAACCCTCCTGGAACATAAGGTGCTTTGCATATTTCGCCACCACACATGGCTGGGGAGGGTTGTAATCAACATCTCGCAAACGGAAATTGGTGTGGGAAGGCTAAATGGCTTGTCCAAGGGCACAGAGTGGAGCTGGGGCTCAGAACTTGGGAGAGAAACCCTCCAGTGTGGCTTTCCTCTGCTTATTGAGACGCCAACAGCACAGCCCGTGTTCGAATCACAGGCTGGTCTGTCCCCATTCCAGTGTAAACGACTGAATTAGGGCCCAACTCTACTTGAGAGAAGTGGTTTTAGTAGAAATGAAAGTGAGCTTTTTCTGGCTATTTGAAATCATCCTAGAATGATTTCAAGGAAGCATGTGGGGTGGGAGAGAGATATAGAAGCAGAGCAGCCGGTGAGAAACCCAGCCGGATTCTGTTCGCCGGGACAGGAAAATCTCCCCCTCCACTGACTAATGCCAGAGGGTGTTAATGTGGACGGAGCAGTGGAAACCAACAAGAGGTCATATTTTACTTTTTGGTCTAGTTTCTGCAGCTCAAACATTTCAAGCCCTTATACGTTAGCGAATGGACATTTGACTTGGGCTCTCTTGGCAGCTGAGAGGGTCTCTCCTGTAAGTACAGGTGGGGAATGATGAGAGAAAACGTCAGCAATAGGATTCTTTGGCCTTGCAGGAGAAATATAAAATGGTGATTCAGAAATGTTCGATCCGTGTGTATTAGGATGACTGGGGACTCTAACTCTTATGATTTGGCAACTGCATCATAGATAAAATACAATAGCCAAACTGGGGCTTCCTTGACATGCTTAAGTGTGGAAATGGGTGTTTCAAAAAAAAAAATTGTATACTCCTGCTGTGGGTGGGCCTTCTCCATTTATTTAGCATTATGAAGGAGTTACACTTTTATCAAACAGAAAACATATGCAAATACCTGTCAGTTCTTATGCCTTCATGTCTATAGGAGGCATTAAATCAATCATACTGCAGAAGAAAATTTGATAAGCACCTTCTAGAAATTTACATAATGCTTTCTGATTAATAAAGGATGAATGCAGCCCAACTGGGTTTAATGACAAATTCACAAGTAGAAAAACCAAGTGAAAACAGAACCTGGAAAAGGCAGACTTAAGACAGACCTTGACTTTTACAGGAAGTGATTTTAATTGTTTCCTGATGTGGGCTGGTGAAATATTATTGTTGTTGCTGTTGTTTTATTATTAGTAGTTATGAACAGAAAACAACTTCACTCAGCTAAGGTTTTCTGAGAGCGTTGTCACCTGACGGAGTTGCCTGATTAGCATCGGCAAGCGATGGGAGTTCTCAAGCACGTACAGAACCAGGAAAGGCTGCTCCCAAGTTGACTTTTTAATGTGGGTCCTTCCACTTTCCAGGCCTCCTAGTCAACTGAAGAGTCTCGGAGGTAGAGACAGGGCAATAAAGTAGCAGCAAGGAACAGAGAAACAGAGGAATTCAGAAAGATTCCAGCTAATTCACTCCAAGGCTAGAGGTTAACACAACAACCAAAAGAATGAAATAAAAGTATAAAAAAATTGGTGAGGGGCTGGTAAATCAAAAGGAAGAGAAAAAGAAAGACTTTCTCTGGAAGAAATTAAAATTATGGCAATGGCTAGCTTACTTAAAAAACAAAAGCATACATTCAGAGAAGGAGGAAAATCTACCATGCTATAGAAATAAAATGCTGTCCCTAACTGAATTTAACAATAATACAAGGTACAAATGTAATCAAGAAGATGATTTAAAAAAAAGAAAGCAGAATAAAAGGAAAGTATTTATAACTTTTATTATCTATACAATTGAATTTTTTTTTCTTAAACAACAAGCACACATGGAGAATTGAAGTAAGAGGAGAAACATATTTTAATCATTATCCTTGTGAAATTGTAAGGCTGGGAGAAAGCTTGACAAATGCAAACCCATATGGTATCTTTACCCTTTTCCATGTAACCTAACCCATCACCTACTTCACACTCCCTCCCCAGCCCCCTAAGAGGAGCCTCCAGGCACTCTCTGCCCTCAGCCATTACCTGCCGGAGGTTGCGTGTCACTTTGACATCGTGCCAGGCGTTGTCATTGAATTTTCCATTCACTGGCTCCACAATGGCCTCAAAGGCCCCGGACCCCAGGTTAATGACCAAGGAGACCGCACCATCCTTCAGAGCCAGGTTGACATAGTCAGCCGACTTGCCCGTGTGCAGGATAAGCCCGTTCCGCTGCCAGGTCTTAAAGGACAGGGTGATTTCATCACTGCTGCTCTGGATCGGGTTCTGAGACAGGTCGTAGCACAGGTACTCTGAGCCTCGGAAAGTGGCCACATTCTCCTCTCGAGCTGCAAGGGAAAGCAAAGGGGAGAGCAGTCAACACTTGACTGGCATGAGCCACGTCTTTGCAAATACCAAAGAGAACACACACATCTACAGGGCACTGCCCCTGCCAGGGGCCTGATGCCAGCACAACACTTCTTTCACCTCTTCCACAGGCTTGTATCTAAGAACCAGGAAAACTAGCAGAGAAGCCGTGTGTTCACACAAGGGCAGAAGACTAAAATGATGATGCAGGAAGGCTTGCTACCTTGCCTTCAAATTTTCCCAGAGAAAAACCTAAAGGGAAAATTCATGCAAAATGGTAAAGTGAGGCTTGCGTTGCTTTTGCATCAATATCAGTATTTAAATGCCTGTAAAAGGGCTGGTTTAGAATGGATAATTAACTGTTCTGACAGAGTGTTCTTTAGCTCCCAGTACCTTTTATTGACCAATACATAAAAATCAATTACCCTGAAAGATCTGGCTCTAATTTCTATCCATTGGTAACATGGCTAACTTTGGTTTCCATGGTACAGTCCTGCGCCCAGTGGAACATGACAGGGTTTCTAAAAAGGAGGTTGAACCTCAGGAAATGACTGAGCAGATGAGGAAAAGGGGACAGAATGGAATGTGATGATATGCTTTGATATTACACTGGACAGCAATGCCTCCCTTTCACTCCAGCGGACTGCTCCCTGAAGCTCTTTGAGGTGGCCTGGTCAGACCGTCCCATGGAACATCTCTCCACAGGAACAGGGGTCCACAGAGCCAACACGGTGTCCCACTGGGACCCAGACTCTTTCAAAACCGTATTCTAGACACTGGGGGCCTATAATTTGCTACCCCAGGAGCCCCAAGTGTGTTCCCAGGACTTGTGCGGGCCTGTTCCCTGGATCAGCTTTCTGAAGGCAAATCATGCCTGTCAGTGTGCACGCCTCCAGGTCTGAGGACTAGCCCTGGGAACTATTTGTACAGGTCTACACAGACCTTGGCCACGTGGGTGGAGGAACCCATGTGCATTTATACCAGGCCCCTGTGATGAGCAATGGAGCTAAGGAGGGGTGAAGGCCACAGAGCCAACCAGAGGGGCTAGCCCTGCCTATGCTGATACTTCCCGAAGCAGAACTCCCAGGAATCTGAAAATGCTAAATGTGAACCTGACTTAACCAAGTTGTTTCGAGGCTCTATTTTCCAAGGTAAGAGGATAGAAAGTATTTGATTTAATTATTTGTTGACTTATAACTTAGACACTCAGCATGCACGCTTCCATTTGTCCTCCTGTCAGGCAACCCCACTTAGAGTGGATGACTTTCCTGGTGGCCCAGCGGTAAAGAATCTGCCTACCAATGCAGGAGACTAGAGTTCAAAGTCTGGATGGGGAAGATCCCCTGGAGAAGGTAATGGCAACCTGCTTCAGGATTCTTGCCTGGGAAATCCCATGGACAGAGGACCCTGGTAGGCTATGGTTCATGGGCTCATAAAGTGTGGGATACGACTTAGCCACTATACAACAACTTCATATCAGGGTTGGTCAAAAGTACCTCTCAACAAAAGGAAATGAGCAATGATACAAATTTAGATATGCAGTTTCCCTTTAAACAGGGGTGGGGTGGGGTGGGGCTACAAAGTAAAGTTGAGGAAATTCTATTTTTCCTTCTAGACCTAACTAAAGCCAATCCACCTTAACTCAGATCCTTATCGACCATCATAGCCCGTGGTAAGCTCCTTAAGGAAAGTCAAATAAATATTTTCTCATCATGAGGTAAAGGAGTCACTCTCATGATGTGAAGAGATGACCACCCGATATAGAGTATTAAGTTCATCATAGCATCACCACATCATTAACGTGAACCCCAACGTCACACTCCAAAGAATGAAAGAAGAGATTGCGTCCTATATCTTCCAGAGAGCCTCAGGGATATGTACAGACCTGCACGTTTCTGTTTGCACACACTGCTATAAGCAAAAGGGACTTGTCCACCTCTAAGTGACCACGGTGTTGCTTACACATATAAGTAGTGAGAACTACTCAGCATGTAACTCATGCCAGATGTATTTTACCAAAATGAGTCCTCCCAAAATCAGAGTAGATATTTGGCACTATACTACATATTTGAAACAGGCCCATCTATCCAATGCCCTAGTGCCCTACTTTCATTATCTCTCTTCCCATTTCTGCAGAAATAGTTTTGTTAGAATTCAACTGGACAAGCTCTTTTGTATAGTAGACCGGAGATGACCCTGATTTACAGCAAAAGATGGCAAATCAAATGCAGGTATCACTGCTAAGCTCTCTTCCTAACAACACAAATGTACGCACAACCAACTACTATGCCTGTCGTTGGCACCCAACATGGTGTATTAGTGGGTGTCTTCTACAAACATTTAAGTTACACCTGTGTGCCCAGTGAACTGAGATAAATGAGCAAGGAAAGGAGGGCTTCTAAAGAGAAGCCTCAATTAATTATCAAGTACCCTTCAAAGGGGAAAGGCCTGACACAGAACAGCAAGGCCCCAGTATATTATTTAATGTACTATATGGCACTTAATATTTTTTCACATAATTAGACCAAGGAGTCTGTTAAAATAATAAATTTTATCACTATAAAAGGTTTTAGAGATTGCCTGATTTAAAACAGTCTTTTTTTTATTATGGTAGAAACTGATGACTAGGAATAAGTGAGTTGCCCAAAACCAGTTTGTCCTACTCTGGACTTCTGCTGCCTCTAAACTTTTCTCCAATATCAGTTACCTTTCACCCTTCATTATGGATATACCACCTGCTCTTATTTTGCTGCTCAAAGGGAAGGAATGGTTCCACTGAGCCCATGTGTTGATTTACAAACCACCCCAAACCTTGAATAAACTAAGCCAGAGACCTAATCCTCCTATCCCCATAAATCACACTTCCTCACCAAAAGAAATGTTTCTCTTTTCCTCCTGGAATCAGTGTATTTAAAATTAAAGAACTTATTTTATGTAGAAGGCCACAGGAGAAAAATGACATCATTAAGAGGCTATCACAGTAAATAAATAAGAATTAAAACCAAGGAGAGAAAAAACTATGCAAATCACACATGTATTTATGCTAATACCCATGCAAATTCATCAATGAAGATTTTATGCATCCTTGAGAGTATATTACTTTGCAAGTATCTGCTCAGTGGTAAAGAACCTGGTGAGTCAGAGAGGTGAGTTCAAATCCCTGGATCGGGAAGATCCCCTGGAGAAGGAAATGGCAACTCACTCCAGTGTTCTTGCTTGGGAAATCCCATGGACAGAGGAGCCTGGAGGGCAAGAGTCCATGGGGGCCAGAAAGAGGCAGACAGGACTTCACTGCTAAACCACAACAACAGTGAAAACTGCTACAACAGTTGACAACCCTCTAACTCCTTTCATTCAATGATGAATTTCCCCAGTTTAACCATTTCTCTGGACTGGAGAAGGCAGTGTCATCCCAGACACCATGTATCTCCTTCATATGTCAGTGAACAGTAGACCACTGAAAGCTACTTCCTGAATTGTATTCTAGATAAGCAAATCACATCATTTTTAATTCACTGGATCCTTTCCCCCGTATTGTTTACAGGAAGGAGAGGCATTGGCAGTGAGTGACCTAGTCTTCAAAAGAGCAAACAAGGGCTTGCCAGGAGAAAGACTGAGGACCTGGAAGAAATCGTTCCTTTGTATACTCTCACAACTGACATTTTTCTCCTAAGGGCCCAAATTGTCTTAATTTCCTTCCAGTGGCTAAAGCTCAAGCACTTTCTTATCACCTTGAAAACCATACTAAGTTGATAGTGAGTATAACTAAAAGGTACAAAACCAAATAGTGACAAATACATTTCTAAGCCAATTCAATTCTCCAAACTCTCCATTAGAAAGATGTAATACTGCCCCCAAATCTGTTTTCTGCAGTGAGTGTTTACACGGAGAAGGAGGGTGAAGAGACAGTGCAGTCACCTTGTGCGTATTCAGGCTAAATAGGTAGAGAAAATGAATGCAGGGGATTACGTAACACAGCATACAATGGCTTAGTGTAAAGCTACAGCTTGGCAAGAGGGCAGGTGCTGAAATGGCTAATGGACTGTGTAGATTCATTTAGATTATATCACTCCAAAGTTTACAATCAATTGCATAAGTGTTAAAATAAAAATGTTACTCTCACTGCATGAAAAGCAGAGCTCAACCCTGTATGACAACAAATCGTTTGCCCATTACTTCTAAGTGTCCAATTGATTAAACACTAGATGCAATCAAGATAAGTATAATTCAAGGTTTTGAATCAGTTTGTATAGACATATAAACTGATTTTTCAAATGACTTATTAATCCAAGGACTGATATATACACAGCATTATTAGGCATTTACTCAGTTCTGTTTCCTACTCTCTCCTCTCCAAAAATCCAAGTACTGATTTATATATCAATAACTCTATTTCTCTGAGAAATTCCAAAATAGATTAAAATAGTCTTTTTTTCTTTTACTGTGGAACTTAAGAAGTGTAAAGAAATACATATCTCTGTTGAATTGGGCCTGTGGTTACTGATAGCTTGATGTCTTAGGCTGTGAGATTAAGAAATAGGAACTTTATTCTAAAGGTCCTGAGGAACCAATGCCTAACTTTATTGAGAGGATGGAGGGTCTGATTTGCATTTTTTAAATATGAGATTATGCAATCCTGCTTCTGTTGGGTTGAGTGTGAACTGGGAAGAAATGAGAGCTGAAGGCAGAGAGCCCAGTGAAAAGAAGAGACAACACATTTGAACTACTCCTTCAGGGGGTGCCTGAAACTGGCTCAACCCGTGTTGATATAACCCAGTGAGGTTTGCATTTCACTGGACAAGAATGGAAGCAAAAGTTTCTAGAAGGGACAACCTAGACAGAGATTCTAAAAACCTGGAGACCATAGGAAGAAGCCAAAGTTGGGCTACTTTAGATGCAAATGCAGCCGTGCAAAGTCAAGGGCCAGAGGTTAAAATGTGAGGATAAGAACACAGCACTAGGCAAGAAAGGGCTCAGGTGA